CTTCAACCTTTTGATTCCCGCAGTCCCTCAGCCTCCAGATAAATTAAAATATTTAATCAAAATGTAATGGCAATGATCTTGTTTGTACAAATGCTATATTATCCCGTGCATTTTAACCACAATCTGCCTGCTTCCTAATGTGACCTAAAGAACCAGTCGGCATTTATTACAAATGCAAGGCAGTAAGCTTCTGGCTCAGCAATTAATCACTGACATGGAGGAATTTCTTCTCTCCAGGTGGGGAACCCATCCAAAAACTAAGAAAAATAATCGGGCTAATTAATTCATATCTGCAAAGAGCAATTAGATAAATGACCTAAAAACAGGCCTGTCACCCCTAGTGAGGTGCTCAGCTTCTAAATAGAATAATGTCTCTTTGCCAGGCCATCTCTGCAGTGAAATGAAGATCACAGAGAGAAAGGGGAAAAGACGGCATGTGGGGAGGGAATGGACTGATAGGGGAGTAGGTTAATTAGAGCTGAGACCAGCTAATGATATATATATATATATAATTTTTATATATATATATATATAAATTAAACCAAAGCTCTGCACTAGGATAGATTTGAAATGATCCCATCACCTTCACAGCTATGCCTTTGTGCAGCCCGTGCTACTAAGGAGAGTGAAGTCATGTCTCCAAGCCACGTTTGAAGAGCAAAACCACTCACCAGGCTTGTCCACCACTGCATTGCATTTTGCCCCTCTGAGTGGCATCCCTGACACGGCACTCTATTAACTTTGAACCGCGTGGCTCCAGCGTGGAACGAGGGTGCCGAAGTGAGATGCAGAATCCCGTGTTTCAATTAGTTTGCTCTGTCAGTCTTTTTCTGTTTTTTAGTCAGGAAATGTGCAATGCGTAAAGCTTCGCAAGTGAGTCAAATTAATCTAAACAGCGCAAGCGAAAAAACAACAAGAATGAATGCACATCAGACCTTTGGTCAACCGTGTATCGCCAGCAAAAGTCTTGCCATCCTTTCAGACATCTCATCAGAAGGGGTGCTCACTAGAGGGAAAAAAGGCCTTTTGGGATGGTCCAGCATTCAGAACAGCATCGCTGCACCTTTCCTCCCGGTCCTAAGATTTCCTCTCCGAGGGGCGTTGAACAGGAACATATAAGAAGTCATCTTCCAAGGCAATGCCTGTCTTTCATATTAATGCACGGCTTCCTTTTTCTGTGTGTGGAAAGTATAATTATATAGTTATGTTTATATCATGACACCATGCCATTTTGAGGCAAAGGGAGGCACTGCAGTAACAGATAGAAGCTTATCTCAGTATTTACAGAAATAAGCCTAAATGACTAGACGTAAAACACTACAGCAGTCAGATTAAGCCAATCCACTCGAGTTATAGTTAATCAGGGCTTTAGCCTCCCAGGAAGTGATCTGAGACCAGAAAAGTGTTTTACAGCTCCCACCAACCTGTAAAATCCTATTCCTCCTGTCTTGAATCCATTAGCACAATACCAAATACAAATGTAAATAACAACTCAGCAGGTAGTTTATAGACATGCCCCAAAACYGCTTCCAAGATCCAAAGCTTCTTAGAGTGTAACCAAACCACTATCCCAAGAGTTACAGGCATTGGTTAGAGACACTTGTCTCTCTCGGAAAACTTGTGTGACCAAGGTTAGTATAATTTATACAAAGCAGATGCCTGCTTGAATGTTTTACTCAAAACTGTCATGGCTTCTACATCCAAGCAGTCAACAATAAATTATAAGCACTAATGAATTAGATCAAGATGCTTGAAAATACTCGGTTTATTCTTAAGAATGATACTTCAGSTACAAAAGAAAATGTGGAGGTTTGGAAGAGAGAAGAATTAAATTCTAGTTATGCGCTTTGCTGCTTATGTTGGCTGAAATGTGATGGCATGACAAAAGCAACCATCTGTGTTTGAACACAAAGAAAGCGACAAGCAAGTRTGTGTCAGTTTAGATCTGTATATCTCCTCGATGATGTTAACGTGAGGCTGGAGCCAGACGAGGGTCTCCTGGATGCTGTGAGATGGAGGCATGTGTTGAAACTGGGCTTCAGAGGCACAGCTCAGAGCCTTGCTTGCTAATGATAGAGGACCATAATAATATTGGCAGAATCTGAGGAAAAAAAAATGGAAAATTGAAAACCAGTTTGTGAAGTTTGTAGGCAGATTAGTCCTAAAAAAAATGGGGCAGCTGGTTTGTCAAGCGTGTTACCAGTCCTCGACAAATGTCTGCAAGGGCTCAGGTTCATCTAAATGTTATAGTGGGAATATGCATGTTATATAATGTGGACCTGCGAGGAAAAATAACTGTTTTCTTCTTGGAACCAAGTCATTTAGTTTTAATTTATACAGAAGTAGGCACAGCCTCCTTCAGCACCAAAGTGTTAGGGTGTTTTTAATGAATAACTTACAAGCAACAGTCACCTGCTAACAGGTCAGCCTCTCTTTTGTGTTTCATTCCCATTTCATTAGTAAAGAAAAAAAGGTCTTTGATTGGATTAATGGAAATAAAACCACAGGGACTAAATCATAAAGCATCCAGTTGTTATTTCTGGTAGCTCCTACGTACAACTGAGACCCTGATTTTTATCATCTCAAAGCATTGGTATATGAGTGCCTTAGTCTTTGACTCATATGCAGAAAAGGTTTGGCCTTAGCAGAAGACACATTTCATCTCKATCTCTTTAGAGATTCTGCTGATTAGCCTCCGGTTTTCAAGAGCTGGTTTTCAAAGTTTCCAACCCTTCTTCTCAGATCTCCTTACCACCGCTTGCCAGCCCGTCATTCCTACCTATTTATTTATTTGGGGGAAAACTGCAGTATCTGGCTGTGGCTACAGGCAGACTTCTGAGCCATATGCTCGGGCTCACTTACGTAGACAGTGTCCCAGGCGAGAGCCTTTCCTGGCCCATCTGCGGCTGCCAGGGAATCCATTATTTTTCCAGTCTCTGGGGAGAAAAAGTTCTTGAGCATCATTACTCCTAGGCAAATGTAACTGACTCTACGGTGCACCCTAATTTGCTTGCCATAATTATAGGTCGCTCACCCCCCTTTGCTATTTATAAACCCTTTTTATTTATTTTTTGTACTTATCAATAATAAATGGAGGCTAGTGAATCATGGGACTGTAATATTTGAATATTATGAAAATGCTAATAACAAGGTAGCATAGGCAGCAGCACCCAGGTCTTATCAGCTGGTCAGATGCTCTATTAAGCAGCCAGTGAGGAGTTCAAGCAAATTGGTTATGTTAATGTCCTGTAGTACTTGGGGAAGATGAAGAGTAAGCAATTAATTTTTTTTCTTCTTCTTCTTCCCAGGCTGCAAGCCGACAAGATGCATTTATATTCTTCCCAGTCTATGGGACCCCAGCTCAGAAGGGGGGCRAGGTGGAAATGTGAGCATCTACCAAGAGCTTTCCGGGATGTAATTGAATGGTGCAACTGAAAATCTGGTGGGAGGGCAGGAGGGGGCACGAGGAATAAATAAATAAATAAGTGAGCAAACCCCACAACAATGGCAACATGGCATTCTTCCCCATTCATTCAGCTGACAGTGCTTTCGCAACTTAAACCTGTTTTATTAATTATGTTTGACATTTCCTTAATTAGTTTCATTTACATCCCATCAGCCCCTACCAGACGACTGCCCCATACATCATTTCACCAGAGGACTGAGATGCCTACAGAATTACAAAAACTTCCCCCCCACAACCCTCACAACTCATCCCTCTGTATTTCACAGATTTTGAGAACAAGTCTCTTCACCTCCTATTTTTCACACACACACAAAAAAAGTAGATTTTTTTAAACCTCTTTAAAGTGATTATGATGTTTTTGAAAAAAACATGGTGCTGGACTATATTTCTATTTTGCTTCCAAGCACGCAATCTGCTTTGTTTTACAGCTCCTAGGTATTTTCACTTTGACAAAAGTGGACTGTACTGAAGGATCCTTTTATATGGACCCAATCCTGCCTCCACTGAGCCTTTGCTACTTTGCTCCAGTGATTCCCCTGTAGCTCTATATATTCATAGGACCTTTTTTTGATGGGTTCCTCTTGTTTCCACGATTGTTATACCATTGTACACATATCAATTAATTTTCAATAAAATTTCATTTGCCATTTTTCATATGACACCCATTTGAAAACTTTAAGAAAAGAAAAAGCCTTTGTGAGCCTCACCAGCCTTTTCATACCATTACTCAGCATTTGTTGTGTGTTCTTCCTGCCTCCAACTACCAGATGCCCAGTGCAGAGCCCAGCTCCTCTGTCCAGCACCAAATACAAGGCAGAGGTACCTGAGAGCAGCATATTTGAAATCTAGTATTGCTAATTCCCAAACTTGCTACTAATACTTGTAATTTGAGAGCCATCACGCTCTTTTGATATYAGGGAAGTTAATCATTCAGAAGGAAAAAGCTTTATTAAATCAGATAATTATCCTTTAGTTCCTTAATAATACATTCAAGGGGAAGTAATTCTTACAATCTTGGCAAAGGGATAGTTCAGCACWTTTTCTGCTTGCCACGGATGCGCAGACATCCTTTCCTCTTTACACTTCCTAGACCRGTGGTGTCCCACTGTTCAGTGACTGGCCATCCACCACAGCAAGACATTTCTTCAGTATGAACTGCCATCCTTCTTGCTTGTTTCCTACAATAAAAGAACATYGCTGTGAGAATTCGCTGACTGTAAGCAAGCTGGTAGTCTTGGTTGCTTTGACCAGTTCTTCTAACTCTAAGAATAGAGCTGAAAAGACATTATTTCTGTCCTGTAACCTACTTGCCCAATCTATATAACAGGAATTGGTGTTTGCCTGCTTGAGCTTCAAATACAAGTACCAGGTGAACTTCCAGGTATGGTAATTCCCAATAAAAAAGTAATATGCATGCAAAATATGCCAATATATTTACTAAAATAAATACACTCAAAGAAACAGACCTCCTTCATTTCTCAGTAGGACTTCTTAGCTTGGGCAAAGCCCATTTGTCTCTTAATGGCATCTTTCACCTCATTGGCTTTGAGTCCAGTCCAACATTTCTGTGCCTGAAAACAGAATCCAAATACTACATATTCTTCTGGTCATCTGCCCTCTCCAACCCTCATGCAATATCTAGCCCAGGTTACAACCAGGCATCTCTTCAACTTAAAGACGAGGTTTCATGGCACGTTAACCTCAAAGGGTTTAGATCATTTCCCAGCTTTCCTGTTTTGATTCCACTACAATCAAACAAACACAAACCCCAAACCCTTCAGTTCAATTACACACACATAAAACCCTCCACTAAAATAGTCTGGTAGATCTAACAGATGTTGTTGGGGCTTCAGATATATCTGAAATAGTATCAAATGGTCAGAAAAAAATCAAAATATTTTTCTGTCACATGCTGTCATACATTGTCAGGGAACCTTGTGCTGTAGCTACATTGAAGTTGAATCTGATTAAAAGATCAGCAAACAAGGCAGGTTGAGGGGAATTTGATCTCATCATTGCTATGCCTGGAAATACCTGTCATCTTCTAGGTTGTCCTGCACTGTGACACTCTTTCTCAGCCAGTTTGCCAATGGACATTCATGGTGGTGACATTCTGTGCAAGCAAAGAGAAAAGGAGGTTAAAAAAGAAAAAAAAGCTGATCCATTCCAATTTTATTTTCAAGTCCTGTATTATTATTCCTCTGAGATCGAGCCTAAACATAAATACCAATTATCAGAGCTACAGACAAATGAATAATTTGATGTAAAACAATCCTGCTTTATTCAAATGAGAGTAGAGGTGAAATTAGAGCTACGCAGGATATTATGTTGAAAAGCACACACACAGACAAAAAGAAAGCAAGCAAAATGTCTAATTTTAACATAGTGTTGTTATCTGTGATTAATGATTTCCGTGGGTGTATAACTCTTATGCAAAAATGCCATGTAATCATGTACATATTTGATTAAATAGCTTAATTTGTGTTCATTTAAAAAAAAAATAAAATAAAGCCAAATAAGCTAGATAATGAGTAGGCGTGTTGTAGGAAAAGCAGATGGGATTCAAAGCACTAGCTGTGTTCAAAGGAAGCCACCAATTTCACTTCAAGAATATTTGCGTATGAAAGCTGATATTTTCTAGAAACGTTCATGGGTAGAACACAGGGGGAAATTTTGCCAAATACTGCTGTTTTTAATGAAGGCACACAGAAATAAAAAAAGTTCAGTTGAGCCCCATTCAAATCCCACTCCTTTGGAGGAAGAGCATCTTTATTTATTTATTTTCTATATTTACTGGGAACGTTGTCTTTCTCTCAGTCARTTATACCTAAAGGATCCTTTTGTTTACCTCTGAGCCATTGACAACAACCTCTCCCTTCTTTGCCTTCACCTGTGGAATTAAATACTGATTTTTCATCACACAATAAAAAAGACACCTCTTAAGACTGGAAATAATGGGGTTTCTTTGTGGGTAAAGCTGTGTAAATCACGGTGTCAAATGAATGGACACAGCTTTAATGGGGCTAATAAACACGTCCCTCTATATTGAGCAAGGGGAATTTTTATGAAAATGATCAAATAAAGTAATAAAAAAGAAGGGGCTTCCCCTCTGGGTTTATGAGCTCTCTCGTTACACATCATGTATGACATACTGACTGGCAGAATATATGATGGACTGTCATACATTGCAGAATGACTTCAATTAGGGTGATAAGATGACAAGTTCCCATAGTTCATATCTGGGTTGGTTGTTTTTTTTCTTTTCAACAGGGCTCTTATTTTGACCTCTTTCTTTCTAATGTTTGATATGAAATTTAAAGGGCCAGTTAAGGTCGGAGGAGACAAAATATGAGTTATGTCAGGAGAAGGAGAGAAGCACCGCCTGTTTCTTTGTTTGCTCTTTTATTCATGGGTAGCATCCTGTAATTCACTAACTATTAAAAATAATTAACACCAACGGCTCTACCCACATGCACCACTCCAGAAAAACAATCCAGCAAGTGCAGCCTGCTGCATAACCTGCAAAAATCACATAGCAACAAATACGGAGGCACATCACACTGCATGATGCCTAAGCATCCACAAGTGCTGTGATCAACCACCTAATCTTGTGTACAGGACCACACAGTCAGATGCTTCAGGGGTGATTAAAGTACCTTTATTTCCATGAGGAAGAAGCTGACTCCATTTCTAGGTCCACAAGAGTACACAGGAGGAAGCAGAACTTCTACATGATTTTCATTCGTTCAAACACAGTCCAGCTGAAAAGCCTAGTTCAGTTGCATCCCAAAGCATTTAACTGCTGAGAGCCAGTGTCTGCTTGAGACACGTACGCAGCCCTCTGCTCAACAAAGGATTTGGATCCCAGATGGATGGCGAGGTGGTGCTGCTGGCATTTTGAACCTCAGAAGAAAAAATATGTAAAATAGAAAGTAGTTCAAGCTTTGCTGATGGCTTTGAAAGTCTGGGAGAACCCACATATGAAAAAAAAATGTAGAAGAGAATATGTTAGAATGCTTTAAATGAGTATGTTCCAATGGTCATCAAGAGCAAATATAGTTCTCATAGGACCTACATATAATTCTATTGCGTCTGGATCAGTTTGAAACTTCTCACTTCCTCAGTGGAAGCTGTAAAATAAACAGAATAAAAACAGAAAGCTGTTCATCCTCTGAAGGACAAAGTGGACTCCTTGATAGTTCTGATCCATGAGACCATCACATGCGTGACCTCAGGGATACCATGGACAGCATTGCTTCAACAACTCAGAATCCAACCCAGGCATTTTACATTGTGGCTTGCTTTGAGACAATCCACCAACCTGGGAAAGGGAAGTGCTCTCCAGGGGAAGATAAATAATTTCCAAGTGGCCTGTTCTGTAGATTCAGCTTTCTTGCAGAGGATTTGCCTTCAAGTCAAGAAATTGCTTGTGTAGGAGTCTCAAAGGCAAATCACTGAAGGAGCAAAAAAAACAGAGATGCTTATCACTGAACAAAGTCATCGGTTTGCTTTGCATACATCCAGGTGGGAATGGTTCTGACTTTGAAAAAYGGCACACATCATGATATAGCCACACAAAAGAACGTAACTCAAAGACAATGAAAATGAAAAGCTTCACCAGATAGAAACTGCACAGCAAAACTCACTTCACTCCTCCTTAGTTCGGGCGAGCTACAAATAGCAGTAGCTACCAGGAAAAATGTCTTTGGCATCTACTCCTTGGGATAAAGTGAGGACTAAATCTCAGCTGAAATGCCTAAGAAGCCCCTGTTGGAAGAGAAAAAGAGAGCAGGAAAAAAAGAGAAAAGGGGGGAAAATCCAGCTGAGTTTAATCTGAACAGTATATCCATCACCAAAAATGATACAAATCAGCTATTACTGGATCATGCAAAAGCAACTCCACTACCTGTGATCCTTCCTTTGCTTTCTAAACCTCTTTTCAGCCCAGCCTAATGAATTGTCAGAACTGTCAGACAGCTCTAAGGAATGACAAATGTCTATGATTTGCTGCTGCTGCTGCTACTTTGCTGAAAACACCTGATGTATATAGTCTTGAAATCCTCTATTTTGTATTACAGGCAAGGAGAGACTCAAGGAATTGGTGTATATGTAGAGTTACTCGCTTTTGTTTTACACACAGGCAGCCTAGTGAAAAATAACATGATAAAAAAAAAGTTCAGGTTGAATATTAAAGCACTCCAAAACGTGAAATGACCCAAAGGAGGCAGAAGATACAACTTCAACTCTGTCTCATTTTACAGTTTCATGTATAGTTACAAGATTTGATATTATGCCTACTGTCTATGGCTTAACATAAATCTTGCAGTGAAATATATCCATACTTGTACATTCCTGATGTTTTCTTCGTCAAAATTATAGATAAAAAGCACCAAACATTCTAACTTCACAAAGAATTTATTTGACAGACAATAAGATCTCTCAAATAATTAATTTGACAAATATCAGAGCTTGAGTTATACAGGCTCCAAACATTTATTATCTTGCAGCCAGATTCTGTGAACATTTGTCATTGACTTAAATGGGTCTAAGATTTCACTTCTTGACGAGTGACAGGCCCTGATGGGTATTTAGTCATTTCTGCTATACCAGATTGGCACTGTACTTAATACATTTGCTAATTCTGTCATAGAACTTACTCTCTGTAACATTCCTCTGCACCAGCCTTCCTTAAAGAAACTCAAGCAAAGCTGTCTCTCCAATAGCAGACACAGAAAAACACAGTTCTGGAAAACAGACCGAGACTGTGTTGCCTAGTTAGTCAGTTGTCCAGCACTTGAATACATTTAAAAAGGGCTGTTATCAACTGCAGAATATTTTTTCCTGCTTTAGTCYTTGTCAGAACATATGTTCACAAGCAGCTTAGCTCCTAGGCAATATAGGTTGTTTTGTATGACATTATGGGACGGGACTTGCCTTAGGTGAGTAGGCATGCATAGCTCAGATACAGATACAGACTAGATAGACACAGACAAGACACTATCCCCGAAGTAAATTGGAAATAGGATCCTGAGCTGAGAAAGTCTGGGAATGTCAAAAAATTGGATTCCTCAGCTGAAAAAAAGTAGAGGAAAGGACAATGGAAACAAATTGGGTCAAAAAAACCAAACTAAGTGGTTCTAATCATACCTCTTACCATCACAGAGTGAGCTTTACAAATCTCTTCTCAGGCAAAAATATCTGCTTGAGCCAAGGCACCAGGTTATCATCTCCCTTCGCTTCATAGGAAGGGTGTGCTGATGAGATTCGGGGAACCTTACAGGACATCACCACGGGTGGATAACAAAAGGAGCCCGGTCCTCGYTCGGCAACGGGGAAGGAAGCTCTCAAACACAGTGTTGGTCCAGTAGATGCACTGCAGATGAAAATGTCTGTTTCCAGACAGGAGGAATAATGAGAAATAAATGYCAAAAAGATTACTGGGATCATCTCTTAGATTAACTCTATTTTGACAACGGTTGGGGTTTGGGAACTCCTCTATGATTTAACAGTAAGAATTCCTCTTTAAGTGGCCTAAAACTTCCTGCTATATCATCACTTGCTGTTGTCAAATAAATAATCATGCGAAATCAGCTGCAGAGAAAAGTCTCCTGTAGAATAGAGTTCATGCATGACATATGATATATCTTTTCAAAGGGACAGATACATCTTTCTTACAGCCAGCATRCAGCTTCCTTCACTGTACCTTCCCTTCCATCCAAATCACCTCAAATAAATGTGAGTTCTGCTGTGTTCACAGTAATTCCTTCATTTTTAAACACATAATGGAAATGTATAACTAGTCCTCATAAAAATTTATATCTCAATTCGTCCCTTTAATTTATAACAGGCCCTCCAGGCAGTTATTATTCAAACATTAATAAAATGCCTATGGATCACCAAAAGCATCAATTTTCACATTCACCTCTCCTCCTATTTGTACATATATAAAGCCAGATTAGAGTTAATGCCACTTCTGTGTCTAACAACAATTATGCCTTTAATAAGATAGGAACAAATGATATATTATCTTAATCACATTAGGAATTTGAGTTCTTTTCATGAAACAAGGTTGAATTTTTTATGCCCTTTGTGGCAATTGTTACTTAACAGCCTATATGTTTGGATATTGCAGTTTATGCAAATGTTCATGTTCTATAAATTTTAGATTTATCTCCATTTATCATTTCACGTGTTCTAATATACAGACATTGCAGTTTAACGCAGGGCTCTGCACACAGTCTAAAATATGATTAGGACACTTTTCATTTATTTATACCATAGAGAACAGAATGGGGAAGGCAGGAGGGGAAAATCACTGTCACAGCAGCTAGACCTCAGCTTCCATAAGGCAATGTGCTTTCCAGAGCTATGTCTCAGCCACACACATTTTCATTCACCTCAAGAATTTGTTTTCTGTTTTTTTTTTTCATTTTCTAACAGTTAAAGTATTAGAGTTTATAAGGAAAGCAGGAAACATTCTCTGTTCTAAAAGCCATTGCCAGCTCATTGCATATCACACAGTAAAAAAATCGTGCTCGTGAGAGTAATTATTACTAATATGAGCTCTCCCGTAGAAGGAAGAGGAGAAGGCAACTTACGTGCACAAGGGTTTTCTGGCTTGAAGCTCATTTAAGAGGAGCAATGATCATTAGGGCCGTAAAGACACATAGGAAGATATTCCCTGAGAATTTTCATTTTCTGCAGGAAAATTTAAAAGTTCCTGCATTAGGGAAATATAGTAGGGAGGGGGGGAAAAAAGTAGATCTTAGACCATATTCTGATTCTGTATAAATCACTGCAGTTCTGTTGACATCAAATAAATAAATAAACCACGAGGAGTTTGTGTTATCTGGGAAGACAGCCCTTTGCATGACCATAAAAATARTAATAATAAAAAAGCACCACCTAAGTCATCTGAAGGAATCTAAGGGAGATTCTATTTTTGAATTTCATTCCTGCAAACTACCAGTAACTCCATGATRTTCCCAATAGGTGCTAAACTAAGGGGAAAACAGCAGAAAGGAGATGTCATTATGGTTCCTTTCCCAGGAAAGCACCACATTTAGGCAAGAATTCAGTTCCACCACCTTGCCTTCGCTAGAGAACTTACCTTTACAGCAGCTTTGCAACCAACTATGTCCAAGAAGGGAAAGAAACCTTTAGGGAGTTTGCAGCAGTGATCTAGAAGATTTTATTATGGTGTTTTCAACCTGTGCCTCCAGGAAATCCCCACTCACACGAACTAAGGTGCTCTCTCCCTTTCCCATCCCCTGCAGAAAACACTGATGAAGACTCAGGGAAGGACCAAAACAAAAGTGAACCCCATTAAGAGAGGGGCTGCCTGCCTGCATGTTTCATTATTAATACTGAGTTCAATTACTCTGATTTCGTCTGTTGACGAATTAGAAGCACCAGAACCAAGTCCCTGGCTGATACCCATTTGTCTTTGCTTATAAGTGCTAATGTGATCCTGTTCCTTTAAAATCAAACTCCTGCTTCAGTCACTTTATGTCTTTGCAACACTAACTGTCTTTTCACTAATTGGTTCTGTGTAAATGAAACAAGCTGAAAAACACTGTGGCACCAATAAATATTAATAAGTTATTGTTTGTTTTCTTTACCTTGCTTATGAATTCATACAAAGACAGTGCTAAGACATTAACTCCAGTCTATTAATTGCCACCTGATAATTGCCACCTGATACTTTTCTCCTGGATAATTAGGTACCCATTAGTTCTAATCAAGTAGTTACTTAATTATTGCAGTAATTAGTCTAATGGACTAGCAAATTGAAGCTTTATCACTTTTGGATACTTAATGTTCCTGACAGAGTACTTCACAAGTGTCAGGGTTCCTGATTCAGCAACCTGCCATCTCCGAACCCCCTGCTGCCATTCCCACCCCACCCACACMGCTCCTAGCCGCTCATCTGCACCCCTTGGATCTGGTGAAGCCAAGATCAACACGAATTGGAGTCCCTCTCCCTCCTTGTTCCCCTTCCCGCCCCGCTTCCACGCCTCCCCTCCTGTGCTCTCACTGCTCTGCTCATTCCATGCCAAAAAAAAAAAAAAAAAACTTTGTTGGGAAATTAAATAACATTTTGGCATGGAGATCACATGCATTAGACTGTACGGCAGCGTAATTCAAAGGAAGGAGCTAATGTTGGCAGGTGTGGGAAGAAGAAAGCAACTGTGAGGGGAGAACTAATAAAGAGTGTTCATGAATACTCAGATACTGTACGGCTTGGAAAGGAAAAGGGAGAAGAGCGAAGCTGACTGGTGGTAAATGAAGGCATGGCTCCAAGGTTTGGGGCTGTTAATGGGCCCTCTTTCATCTCTGGATCAGAGGAGCAAATCTAACACAGGTTTTTCGTGCAAAGTATTCATGGAGTTTCTTTTCTGCACACAAACCCTTGTAGCGCAGAGTTTGTGGACAAGAAGAGGACGTTAGCACTTTCCTGCCCCACAGGGTTATGTTATGATTAGCACTGTACTTTATTGTGAAGGGCTCAGAATCCTACATCTAATGCTAATACTTCATATCTAATTCTAATACAATACTTAATCGGTACTTCATGTGGTGTCCTCACTCCTGTGCCCTGGCTAAGTACTGGTCCATAGGTTTTCTTTGAGGGTTATGCTTGCTTTAGGATCCTTTTGTGTTTGAGGTAGATAGAGAAAGCACAGACACTGAGGAACATTGCACAACATTTGACCTGGACTTATCTCTCCCATTGATCATCTGATGCAGATTCTCTTAAGCCTCCTCATGTGAGATTTGTACCAAATTTGATCATCGAGTCTTTTGACAAGTGTAATCTGCCCTGATATTGCACTGTCTAACATGAAAGTGTCCTTTTTACTGGGAAGTGGGAAAAAAGGAGGAGAAAAAAAAGAATTGCTCGTGCTCAGAAATAAGGAAACTAATTCTATTTAATAGTGCTTGACAACTTGCTAATGGTTAAACTACATCACATATGTGGTAGGAAAATGTATTCTCAAATAGATGCATTTATCTGTCTGGATCAAATAATTTGTCTTTCCATTTCTGCTGATATTGTAAGACTATCTAGGAATTTGTTGGGATATATATTAGGAAGCTTCAGAACACATTTTAAATGTGTCCTGTTTGAAGGTATCATGCTCCCAAATAGCTGGGGAGCCTGCATTTCCTTTTCATGAAGGCTACAGGGTGGAGGCAAAGAGAAGAAATGACTATTAAGGTCTTGAGCTGTTAGGGAACTGGAACAAGACAAGTTGTGCACTGGTTTGGAGCTGTGTATCGATTGGAGATCTTTTATGTGTCATAAAGAATAATTAAAGTTACCATACCTGAACCAAAGCCCCTCTGTCCTCTGTGTTGTGTAATGCACATACATACAGCAAGATATACCCCGATATCCTCACAAACACTGGCATTTGTTTTGCCAGTTGGATTATCTTGGGTATATTCATATTACTGGAACAGAGGAACCAATATTTTTTCTGTGGAATTGTAAATAAATTAACAATATGCTTTCTCATAATTCTCCTTACTATATGAAAAAAGTGTCTTTTTTTTTCCATTTACTTCATGAAGTTTTCTTACCCAAAACACAACAGACTGTGATAAAGAGATCACTGACTCATAAGTTTCCTACCATAGCTCCACATCCATCACAGTTGGCTACAATGCTTGTTTCCTGTGAAGTTAGTCTTTAGGTAGCAGTCAATAAAACCTTACGATGCTCCTGAAAAATCATACCACAAAACCGCTTAAACACCTGTGTGAGGCCACTGAGCAATAACATTCCCATGCACTCAAAGCAAAATTAGTCAAAGCATACTTAGCCCATTAAGAAAATATATTGCTTTAAATTACAGTTCCTCAGTATGCATTGATCTTGCTCCTTATGCCAGTTCCTTAGGAGAGCAATGCCAAGCAGATTCAACACAGGATTTGTATTGACTTGAATTAAAGCATCTGAACCCATTGCTGCTGCTGAAGGCTCCCAGCAGCAGAAATCCAGTATAGAAAGATTTTGACAGTGAACAAGAGTCACAGTCTTCTCCATCAATAGCAATAAATTGTAACTGATACCAAAAGGTAGGCAAAGCCACCTAAGGAAATCAGAAAAGCCTGGAAAATCAGTTAATCAGATGGTGTCCCAGTTGGCTTTGCAGATGTTGACACACAAGATAATATGACTGACCCTCAACAGACAGCTTGAGAATGGGCCAACACTCACAGTCCCAAAACTGATCATATCTTTAGCAGAGAGCTTGGAGCCTCGTCTCTGAGCAGGTTGTCTCCGTGGGAGAGCCTGTTCATAGGGTTGATGGCAGAGAAGTGGCAGGACCTCTGTGGTGCCTCATCTTCCATACGGTGCCTCTTCTGAGGCT